ATCCCCGGAATCTGTTAGGACTTAAGACACATTACTTTTAGTTGGGAGGGTAAGAGAAAATATTCTGGCATGTGCTAAGCGGAAGAGTAATTTAGTACACTTTCTTAATATTTTGAAAAGCTGTACTGAGGCAACATTTTTTTTTTTTTGTGGGATGGAATGAATATCTTGTACTCTCAAGAGAAAAATGGCCATCTCTCATCAGAGAAAAATCAGGGAAGGGAGCCCAAAGGAAGAGAAACTTTGTAAAGTTCTCATTTTTAAGAAAAAATATTAAAAACAAAAAACTACACGTAGGGGTGCCTGGGTGGCTCAGTCAGTTATGTGTCTGCCTTCAGCTCAGGTCATGATCCCGGGGTCCTGGGATCGAGCCCTATGTCGGGCCCTTTGCTCAACAGGGAACCTGCTTCTCCCTCTCCCTCTGCCTGCCTCTCTGCCCACTAGTGCTCTCTCTCTGTCAAATAAATAAATAAAATCTTGAAAGAAAAAAAAACAACAACTACACATGACATCATTTCCACATACTCCGAATTCCTATTTGCCGAAGGCTGACAAAGGCACAATACTGCCAATGAAGGCACCTTTCTTTTTCTAATATATTTTCAGCAGTTGGCCCTCACATCTCTAGTAGCAGTAGATACTATTAATATCAATGTTCTACAGATGAGCAAACTGCCATTTACTATGATGAGACAGCTGGTTAATTGTGAAATGGGGATGGTGCATCAGGCCTATTCGACTCCAGAGCCTAAGATCCTAAATAGGAGGCTAAACTGTGAAGTACTTCACCTCTTTGCAGGTGTTGGGGACTGACATGGTGGCCAGGGGCACAGGGGTTGAAGTGGGACAGGTATGGGCTCTTCTCATTACCAGCTGCATGAACTGAGTAGGCTCTGAGCCTCATCTGTGAAACGGAGGTCAGAGTGTTCTTTCATAGAGTTTTTGTCGAGATTAAATTACATAACATAGAAACAATGTCCCATACACTGTAAGTGCTTGGTGAGGAATAATTGCTTTTTAAATGACAATTATTGGAATATACTTATTAATCTTACTTATTCTTTGACCAGTGATGCCCAAACTCGGGCCCTACTCTAGACCAATTAGATTATTATTTCTGACCAACAGTTCATCTTAGAATATGAATTCTCATCTATCATCCCTTGTGATTCTTAGGATCAGGTTAGTTTGGGACATAATTCTTTTGGGTTTTTGGTTCCTTATCTCTACCCCAAACTAGCCAATTACTTAAGTTATTTGTTAAAGGCAACTCCATGCCTCTGCACTCTCTAGATCAGCCCTGCAAATTACAAATGACTCTTTATTTTCTCTTGGATCTGTAAAGATTAGTGATGCTGTACCAATATGTCCGATAAACTTCAGCTCTGGTTCTCTCTAGCACCAAATTATAATTCATTCAAAGCACACATCTAGGGGAAGATGGTCTGAGTCTTTCACAATGAAATTGCTTTTCTTAAACAGGTGATGTGCTGAGACCCAGAAAGTATAGCCTCTACAGAGGCCTCCCAATCATGTGTCAGTCATTTGAAAGTCAATTCAGAATTTAGCTATTCCAGAAATTGGCACTAACTGCACTTGATTTCAACTACTTACACATTACTCTCAGAATTTCAATTGTGAGTCTATAAAAATTATTGGCTCTTGGTGACATGACAAAGGTTCTTAATAAAGAGAGTTTAGTATCGTTCTTTAACTAGACTGTGTAGTCCTTGGAATCTGGGACCATGTCTGCTACATATAAATTGTGGGTGAAGGATATCAGAGAAATAGAATTTACGCTTCCTGCCCTCAAGGAGAATGTGATCCAGCCGGAAAGATATGCGGCTTTGCAAATATTAAGCAACATTTTCCAACTGGCTGTAAATTATAGTGCCCTGAACTCAACAAGTGAAAGAAATATTATGTTCAGGAATGTCATCAGCTCCTTAAGGAGACTCACACCTGAGTTTCATATAATGTTTTCTCTTTTGGAGAGCAAAGCACGTCACTACAAACATTTGCAGGAAAGGAAAACGATATTGTCTTTTAAACCACATCTCTGTCCAGAACTTGTTCCCAAAGTCTGATCTTTCCTAGTACATGAACATATGATGCTCTAGTCTAGCATTTTTCAGCTGTGGCTTGTGATTTATTACTAGGTCAGGAAATTTGTTTAGGGGCCATGACCATCATTTTTTAAAACATGAAGTAGAATAGAAAATATCAGAGACAGTAGACTTAATACAAAAAGAGTTTATGAAAATTGTGATTTCCTGTAAATGTGCCAAGTCACAATGCAAAACGTACTTGCGACTATGACTTGTAGTTGAAAAGAGTTTGAGGAACAATGCGTCTGGTCAGCACCCAGGAAACTAAACAGAGAGTCCCAGTAAGACTACAGAAGAGTTTGATGCTTGCAACACATTTTTCCACTGAAGAGAATTACCTCATGTTGTGGTAATATTTTCTGTGCGAAGTTCAAAATCCTGGAGAACAAAATATCAGTCATGTAACTGCCCAAGCCATATTGAAGACGTGGCTTAGATGAGCGACCACAGTGAGCTTCCTAACCCTTCACACAAGAAGTGTTAGAGGTACCTGCCACTTAGTTGCATGCAGAGCTAGATAAGTACAGGTCTTGTCCGGGGCAGCACTGCTCCAATAAGCTCCAATCAACTCACCTCATGACAGACTCTCTGGACCAGGGATCCAAAGAGAAAGAACTCAGAAGCGTTCCTTTTGGCAAACTCACCAGTAAGGTATATCTCACTGCCTTACCAAACAGAACAAGAGAGAAGTCCCGATGAGTAGTCTAGATAGGGAGGGTGATGAGGAATAGAGGTGTAGAATGTTATTCCAGTGGAAGAGCCCTGGGAAACATGAAGCCAGGGAAATACAAAGGCTATTAATCCCCTACCACACTCTTCATTCTCAGAGAGTAGTGTTTGAGATATCACTGCCTTCCCCAACTCACCTGCCATAGGGTAAAGAGTCTTATGGTCAGCATGGGTGAGGCAAACCCACCGGGGTAAATAAACAATAGCTTATCAGGGAGCCCTATCCTCACCTTAAGAAACTATGATACCTCATATGAACTACTCTTTCTTTGTGTTCCTGTCTAGAACCTCTTTGGGAAATTATACTTTTGTATACAGAGGACTCTGAATGGAGACACAATATTAACTAAATTAACTCTAAGGCCCTGCTTATAAAAATTTATTTCTTGAACCATGTCCTGTCTCTAAAGATGCCCAGCCACATTATATAATTAGCTCACCTGAGACTGTACAATGGCAAATACAAATGTATTCCAAGTAACAGAACATTACTATATCCAAATGTCTCCAATTTTAGCATAAATGCCTTTATTGATTCCCAGGAAGAAATTATCAAAAATTAAATTTCTGGTCTTTTCTACATAAATCGAAGATTAACAAAATTTAAGTGAATCAAAAGTGAATAAGTAGTCGCCTCAAGTTCGAGAGAAATTTATTGAATTCCAAAAAGTATCCCTATCACCAAATTTTCATGGTATAGTCATTCATAGCCAAAGGCAGCTCACTCTAATACTTGAGTGGAGCTGGGGTTTCTTTACTACTTCCATCTTGGGCTGCCTTCTACCTGAATAAAATTCCTGTAAACCTCAGAATTTAACTTATTTTGACATCAGTATTATCAGTCAGGATAGAAGCCAGTCCACGTTCGTTCCATTAAAGTGGTATTTTTTATATGGAACTAGAAACTTATACAATAACCATTTCTAGGGCTGTAGGAGATAAGATCAAAAGGCCACTTTCAGAAAAATCTAGAAGTGTGACTCATGGGAAAGTCACAACGAGCAAAGCCAAATAGGTAATTCTCAAAAGAATCCCCAGAAGCCGTGGGAAGCCAGCACTGTTGTTCTGAGCTTCCTGCTTTCAACAGCCCCTCTTCTACCTTCCACTTCGCAGTATCTCACTGTCCGAAGTGAAGGGTCTAAAGACTATCCCAGCACTTGTCCTACATGCAGGCAAGTTTGAAACACAAGCAAATGGCCAAGCCTTGGAGGCCATTATGCAAGTAAAACATCTTTCCTAGATACCGGTACTGGGTAGAAATCTAGACCTTGTGACAGCTACCAAGAGAAACTCAATAGGATTTCATGGTTTCGTTGCCAATAAGTCCAGTACAAATATATGGAATTTATGGCTCTTGAACATGAAGTCAATTGTGAGAGCTCTCCCATTCTGAGTCTGATGCAGGTATTTACCATACTGGAGAATAAATGCACCTATGCACCATGTCCTCTCTCAGAAAGTAGCACTTAAAATATCACTCCTTTGTTACAAAGTTTAGACATTTTTCTGTCTTCTTTAGGTCATCTTTTTTTCCCATCATATTTAAATTCCCGTTTTGTATCACCTTTTGGCCTCTTCGCATTCAGTACCCTCTTGCTGAACACATCATGTCTTCTGTCCTAATCACACGGGCTCCTTTCCAGTTTTTTTTAAGACATGTTTTTTAGAGCAGTTTTTTGTTTACAACAACATCAAGAGGAAGGTACAGAGATTTCCCATGTACCACCCCCTCCTCACATGGGCATAGCTTTCCCATTATTAACAGTACTCACCAGAATGGTAGCGCTGTGAATTGTGCAAGACTGTTGAATCACAGACCTGTACCTCTGAAACAAATAATGCAATATATGTTAAGAAAAAAAAAAAGAAGAAGAAAGGGGGGGAAATCGGAGGGGGAGACGAACCATGAGAGACGATGGGCTCTGAGAAACAAACTGAGGGTTCTAGAGGGGAGGGGGGTGGGGGATGGGTTAGCCTGATGATGGGTATTAAAGAGGGCACGTTCTGCGTGGAGCACTGGGTGTTATGCGCAAACAATGAATCATGGAACACTACATCAAAAACTAATGATGTAATGTAGGTGATTAACATAACAATAAAAAATTAAAAAAAAAAAAACAGTACTCACCAGAATGGTACATTTTTTTCCCCAAGGATGAACCAGCATTGACACATCACAATCAGCAAAAATCCACTCTTCCCCTTAGGATTCACTCCTGGTGGTGTACATTCTATGAATTAGGACAAAAGTGAAATGACATATACAGTATCCATCATTACAATATCATTGAGAGTGTTTTCACTGTACTGTCCATCCTATTTTATGAGTTATTATTATTACTCCTACTGATACCAAAAGGAAGGCCTGTGAATCTACCTCCTCAATTCCATTTGTTTTGTTTTTCCTGGACAATCACCTCCAGCAGATGGCTGAACAAAACTGATGTTGGAGTTTTGAGAAGCATGTCCCCCAACACCTAGGCAGGCCCAATACTTTTGCCATGCATCCTTCCCTGGGGCCTGGATTTTCCTCAGCTCTTTATCTCATTGAGTCTTGAATAACTCAGAAACTTTAATGTCAACAATAATATCTCCTTCTGCCCTAACTTTTCTGGAACACAGAGACATGTCTCTTGTGTTCTCCCTATCCCCAAATTCATTCCAGGGAGACCGTGTTTTGTTTTCACAATTAACTTAAACTTATCCCTCTCTTTTTCTACCACCTGAAAAGCTCACTCTCTTTGCTGGATCTGCCACTTTTCTTTTCAGACATTTATTTTTCTAACATACTCCTGGGGATTGAGCCTTGCTCCACAACCACCAGCATGCCTGAACTGTAAGAAGTGTGAGTTCAATCAACTGCAAGTCTGCCAAAAGTATACACTTTTCAGACAAATGTGTCTACTTCCTCCACTCCATCCCCACATTGAATGATCCCGCCCAGTATGCATTCCCTCATCAGATGCCCTCTAACCTGGCACCAAACTTGAATACAAGATGGAGTAAATCACAGTGCTTGAGTCCGGATTCTGGGACTAAACCAAACGAGTTTGAAGTTTAGCTACTTTATGTACCTGATATATATTTTTGGGTAAATCATTTAAATAACTGTGTCTCAGTTTCTTTAGATGTAAAATCTGATTAATAATGTTCCTCCCTTGTGAGATTATTGTAAATATTAAATAAACTCGGATGTAAAATTTGGAGATTTGTTCATGATACATAGCAATCAATAGATGTTACCTTCCCTGTGCCTTCTATGATCCATATACTTTCCAGGCATTCTACCTCCTAAGACAGAGAATAGTACCTACAATCACTGGAGCCCCTTCAGATGTGCTGACTGATGCCTTAAACGTGATCCTCTAGCCTTCTGTTTTATACCTACCAGCTAGATAACAGCTGACTCAAGCCCTAAGGAAGTGAATATCTGCAGTCTTAAGGATATGCCTCTCCCCGGTTTTCTGGACCCAGGCTCTTCTGGAGAGAATCATTCAGGCGAGTTTCTGGAGATCTTGCCACCCTTCTTCTGATAGTTTTCTTTGAACCCCAGCCACCATTTCGGATCAAGTAACAACTGAAATGCTCTTCTCTGATCCCATCTGTAAGGACAGCTACACCCAGGTGCTTCACCTTCCTCCTTCCCTATTTGCCCAGACTGACTTCCAGGGTCCCTTTTCCCTGTTCATATTGGGCTACCTTCTTCCCTAAGAGCTTAGCATTGCCCTTAAGAAAATCTCTCTCTTCCCCTTCATTAAAATTTCTTTATTTCTCTTTCATTCTCCCAACGATCATGTTCTGATAGTTTTTAAAGCAATCCAGTTCTTCCTTGTTACCCGAACAAACTTGGTTCCTGAGGACAGATAATTCCTGGCACAGACCGTTTTAATTTACCTTCTTAGTTTGGGCTTGAATAAATTTCATCTCTCCGCCTCAAGCAAAGCTGGTTCATCCCTTTTTTAACAAGGACTCCTCTACTGGGGGGGGCTGTTCGTTGATGCAATCACTAGCCCTCTGAATCTGGATCCAGTCCCCTGAAGGTAATGGGTTGGGCAGAGCTCTTTGGAGACAAAACAGTGTGAATACATGTTTTGAGCCTTTCACACTTCCACCCCCGACACTAAACAAAAATGGGGGAAAAGATCGACTCAGATTCCTACCTGTACCTGCTATGAAGCTCTGTTGCTCAAATGGAACTTAACTGCTTCTGAAATATAACATCCTAGTTTGAAGGCCTTGATGAAAAAAAAAAAAAAAGAAACACCACAATGGAGTTAAAATCCTTCCACATAAGCAGTACCTAGAAAGCCTGCACAGTGATGTGTGACAAAATGGCTCTCTTTTTCTACGATTTGCTCATCCTTTTCTGGGCCTCACCTACAATATTAGGCCAAGCTGCCCCTGTGTGATTCATGGGCAGCAACAGTGACATGCATGGTCAAGCCTGGACAGCCAGCTTACTGGGGTCTGTCCCAGCTAATAACTGGCTGTACCACTGGAAAAAAATAGCCACATATTTGCTGCCTCAGTATACCAAGGTACAATGCTCTAGGACCTAAATCTATTAAGTACTAAGTAATTAAGTCTCCTAGCTGTCCCAACAGAAGCAAAGATTAACCCATGTTATTTTGGTCCCTAAATAGCAGTCCCTGTGTCCACCTCTCAAGGTTAATAGACTGTGTATCGCTCCTTTCTTCTCTTGAGACTTTCAATAAATAATGTTCTGTAGCCATAGAACACAGAGGAAGATCAAAATATTAGCTTCTTACTGATAAAACCTGAGCTGAAGGATATGGTTTAGGTGTGCATTTTCCTCATTTTTCATTCTCTATACTTAGTCACATGGTCTCAGTGAGCTGGGTCACCCCAGGACACCCCTGGAAAAGCCTCCTGACCTAAGAAGCTTAGCATGTACAGAGAACAGACCAGAACATAGACTTTCCTTGGGCAGACAGCTTCAAAGAGAGAAGCTGGAATTACCTTGTATTCTTCCAACTTGCCAGTCAGAAAATCCCATGAGAAGGCATAAGTTAGCGGGGGAGCGGGACGTCCAAAGGTATGAGTCTTTAAGAAGTTCCCTCGTGGGAGCATGAGGCCACATTAACACTTTAGACTTGGCTTTCAAATAATTGCCTTAATATTAAAGAAAGGAGAAGCTGGGTAGAGAACTGCTCACCAAATCCCAAGAACTTTTCTGATATTCTGCCCCAGTAACTAAACGTAAATAACGCAGCTAAAGGCAGGGTAGACATTTGTTTCGCACTACAATGTTTGTAGTATGGAAAATAAGTCACATTGACCATCTAGAGCTAATGTTGATTTTTATTCTTGCCCATTCGTAAGGCATATCTTACTTTATAAACGATAGCATTTTTAATTCAAGTTAGAAAATAGACCCTTGGGATTTTTAACAATAGCTTTGCTGCATATTTTAGTAAGAGTCCAATTCATATGTAACATTTTTGAGATTCTTCTTGAAAGTGCTTTGAAAACGTATGATATTGTACAGAAGTATGATAATGTATTCTACAAGTTTAGAGCTTTATACAGGGGCTTTTGTTCTAATAAACCATATTTATCTCGAAAGGTAGACAAATGGGCACCTGCAGTTTATAAATAGTGATTTTGGAGTGCCTGATCTGCTTCTGAAGTTTTGACTGTCCTGGCAGGAGACTGAGGTTGATTAGGTTGATGGGGTTCACTTTTTTTTTTATTGTTGGAACACGAATGGAACCCCTGCTTTTTTTTTTTTAAAGATTTTATTTATTTATTTGAGAGAGAGAGAGAGAGCATGAGAGGGGGGAGGGTCAGAGGGAGAAGCAGACTCCCCGCTGAGCAGGGAGCCCGATGTGGGACTCGATCCCGGGACTCCA